ATCTTCTTCTAATCAATTTTTAAATGATATGTACACTTTGAATACTGCAAACCTGACTTGGAATCAAGTTCTCTCTAATAATCCACCAACAACAATTGCAGAACATACTTCAACTTTATTACCTGATAGTAGAATTGTAATCATTGGTGGATACGAAGGTCAAGCTATGGCTGACATGTATAAAGTATGCATTATTTTTATATATACATATAGAAAATATTGATTAATTTCCTTTTTTTTAAAAAAACAAAATAATATAGTAACTATTTCTTTATTTATAGATAAAAGTTTTTGATATAAATAGTTCAACTTGGTCAATTGTGGTAAATATTTAATCAATTAAAATATAATATTTGCAAAAATTTTTATAGGAAAAATCAGAGTATTTATTTTATTTTTCTTACATGTGGGCGAAAAATTTAGACAGTAGATGGTCCATTATCTATCCAACCTCGAACTGGTCATTCAGCTGTACTTTGTAATTAATATTTTAATTTTAAATTTTTTTAAAAAAAAACATCATACTAAAATTATATATAATGTATAGCAAAGGATGGAAAGATAATTGTTTATGGTGGTAGTGGATCTACAGGAACCACATCATTTCCTGAACTTATAGTACTGGATACAACTACAAATCCTTTTAAATGGTCTACACCCAGTTTTCCATCTGTTAATCGTGCTCCACCTCTAACATTGCATACAGCTAATTTAATAGAAAATCAGATGATAATATGTTTTGGTATATTTTTTATATTTTTTTTAAAAAAATTTTTATTTTCTTTCAACTCTAAAATTAATTATAATTATATATATATAGGAAATATTACAAATAATTTTACAAATCCACAATCATCTAGTGCAAGTACTTATATATTTGATATTAAAGATTTTACTTGGAAAACAAGTTATTCAGCATCTGAGGCAAACTTGGTATCAGCATCATCACCATCATCACCATCATCACCATCATCACCATCATCACCATCATCATCATTAAACACTGTCCAAATATTAGCAATAGTAATTTCAATTTTATTAATACTGTTAATTGCAATAGCATCATTCATATTTATAAGATTGTATCTAAAGAAAAAAAAATCAGTTCCAAGTAATGTTATAGAAATGCCTAGTGAGCAACAACTTCAACAATATGGGAATTCTCAGTTTGTTCCTAATATTACACCTTATCCTAATAACCCTCCCTATCCTAATAACCCTTCTTATCCTAATAACCCTTCTTATCCTAATAACCCTTCTTATCCTGATCTGCAACTTCAAACCAATAATGTTTTTTTTATTAATAAAATTAAAAAACTCCTTTTAGAACCTAAATTTTCTTCAATTTTATTAATAAAAAAAGGTTTAGTAGTTTTGAAGTTGCATAATTTTTGAAATCAGACAATTTAGGTATATTCTTCCTTAATTAGGATAAACTATGATGATCCAGTAAATTATTTCCAAAAATGGTAATAAAGTGGGTACATACGGTGCAGATCATCTATAATCATTAATTGCTTATCCCTTAAACGAAATTGCGGCCAAATCTGGCTGCAATTTGCAATTGTGATTCAAAAATTACAAAAAAAGGTATTTTACTGTGGTCTCACCACAACCTTTCTTATTTGATAAATGATATTCAAAGCACCCTACTTTTATTAAAAAAATTTCGTTTGGGGTACATATTACAAATAAAGAAATAATATGTGTAAAACATAAAAGTTCCTTTGAAATTTTCTTTGCTGATCATTTTATTATAAAACAAAATTCCAACAGAATTTGAAATCCTATGAAATACTAATTAAAGGACATTTCTAAAATAATTATTGTTAATTAACTGCTTATTTTTATTGATGTTTTTTGTGTTTTGGAAAATAGACATAATAAATTATGGAATTAATACTACATGCGGAATTGAAAACTCCCGAGTTTGAATCCAAATCCTTTAATGAATTCATACTAAATTTATTATAAATGCCAGAAGTGTAAGAGACTTCAGACAAGTAAACTAAATCAAGTGCTCCAATAAAAATCAAACAATTTTAAATTTAACAATTAATTTTAATTTCCCAAAACAACTACTTTTTAATAACAAAAATCAAAATGAACCAATAATAAAATGCTAATATTCTTGATTCCGATGATGGATATTATATTGCTAGTATTACAAGAAGATGGGGTGGGCTTTATGATAATGAGTTATCTGAAAATTGCTATGTAGATTTCCACACAAGAAGAGAAAGTTAATGTTCGTTAATTATTTTATTCATTTTTTTTTTATTTATTTATTTATTATTCAATTTGGTTACACAATCTTATGTAGTAGTTTATATTAAAAAGTCAAAAATTGTAGCCTAAATTGGCATCATTATTCTAAGTAAACTTATTAATTAGAACATATATGATTACATATCTTATGGTTTTGGTCCTGGTTTTAAATGATGAAATTTTTTACTAATCGCAACTTTTCAAAAATCCAAAAATTAATTTTTTTTTAAAAAATACATTTATTTCGGTACTAGTAAAACTTAAACAAAAGAAATTAATTTATTAAAAATGAATATTTATACATAAATTTTATGGCCTTTTCCATCTAAAGTCAAAAAAAAAATGGAAGTCAGTTGGTAATTTTTTTGTTTATTAGGGGTCTACATTTTTTTAAAAATTGCGGCCAAATCTGGCCGCAATTTCTGTTTGTTTAAGGGATAGTCTATTCCAAGTCGTTTTGAGTTTATATAAACTCAAAACGACTAAGGGGTTAATAATTTATATGATATGGGAGCAATTAAAATGGATAAAGAAGAACCCTTTGGCTCAGATCAAATCAAGAATAATATAAATAAGTTGAAGGATAAACTTAAAAAAGAATCTATGCCCCTTTATCAAAAGTTATATTCTGTGGTGGATGCCTTGTCTATTAATGAATTAACTTGGAAAGTCCCTTTAACAAGCCAAGTTACCAGTAATAAATCAGAACTTGTGGAGAGATTGAATGTAAATCTAAAAAAGGCATTTCAGGTATATTTATTTATCTTGATTATCTACAAGTCAAGAAGTGAACTATTTCAGCTATATAAATGCCTCATTACCCCATAACAGACTCTGTACTTATATATTTATTGGAGCTAATACATTTGTATTAAATTAATATAATTATAATATTAGAAACCCACTCAGCAAATGAAACCTGCTTCCATACCAAAAATTAGAAAAATGTGCAAGGAATTTATATCAAGTTTTGTTAATCGCATTTATCAGAATATAGTACTGGAAAAATTAATACATAATGGATCTTTGGAAAGAATCAGAAGAAAAACTTTCTAATATTGTGAAAGAGGTTTTTGTTGTTCTGGAAGATATTTGGATTAATCCTGTATTTAATTATGATCTTGCAAAATTGTTAAATGAAGGAACCTATTGTCATCCATTATGTTCTTCTAATAATTCTAGGAAAATTAATAATGTATTTGCCATACAATATCTTGCTCTGTAATTATCAACTATCCAATTCCAAAAGATTAAAAATTCAGGTGGAAGGTTCTGTTGTAATGAATAACAATCAGTGCAAGATAAGTCCTGATGAAGATGTGATATTGATACTAAGTGTGGGTGACTCCCATGTATTCTCTGGTGCTCTCAAGTAAATCTTTCTAAGGTTCTTAAACTTGTTCCAGTATATTCTGAACTTTCAGTAAGACTGTGAACTGCATTTCAGATTTTTAGCTTAAAGTTTTCTTCTTTTTCAGCTAATTGCTTTTTCAATAATTCTATTTCATTTATTAGTGCTTTATTTGTTTGTTGTTGTTTGTTCATAATGTTTACCATGTTGGAAGACATTTTATTAAGGTGTACAAAAAAATTCTCCTTATCTTCCCCTCAGACCAGGCTTGGCTGTTACCATATGAGCATTGATCACTGATGGCACTTGTGTGATGTTCACTTTGTGTTATCCTGACCTATAGGACAAAGATGGGTATCTGAAACTGGTTTGCAATTCGGGAGGTTGCATCCTAGGTTATTGTTTTGTGGGACACACTAGAACTGCTTTGAAAATCTTCCAAACTAATGTTTGAGTTTCAAAGTGCAAATCTAGATGCACTCATTCACAAGCAAAAGTTTTGACCTAGGGAAGGAGACTGGTTGGGCAAAAGCCTAGATCCCTACCTACTTTGAAAAAACAATAAATCTGGTTAATCAAATAAAAAATTCATCAAGAAAACAAAAAATTCAAAAAAATAATTAATTTATACAAAACACAATCCATTTTATGATATTTCTCTTGTTAGATTCCACTTTGATGCAAAAGATCAATGTAATCTAATGCTCCACATAAGCCAGCTCGCAAGCCAAATAATTTCTTTACCTAGAAGTAGGATCATTGCAAGAAGCTTTTCAGCCTTTCCTTGGCCAGGCACTGTGAGGGAAGATTAAGATTCAAATGTCCTTGACAATGATGCAGTTTCAATAAACTCCAGAGCCTTGCCCCCCCCCCCCTGAAAATTTAATTGCATCATCTCATCGGGAGAAACTTGGTCAGATTAGCCTTTGTACATGAAGAACATAAGAGAATGATTGTAATGTCTAAAAGCAATGTATGTGCTTTAACATCTGTAAAATCTCCATAATCAAATGTCACATATTGAATTGTTTCTTCTGCAACAGTCAGTTGTGTTGCCTGACATTTTCTTATATTTAATATTAATATTATTAGTATTGATTTAAGGCAAAACAATACCAATTATTTATTATCTTATAAATACCTAAATAAATGACAAGTTCATCCATGCATTGATTTCAACATTATATATTTTATATAAGTAATAAAAGATACATATCAATACATTTATAAAAACAATAAAATAAATAAAAACCGTGTATCTCTCACAAGAACATACCATGCTAAACAACATCTACTTGTATAACCCATACATGTAAATAATTTTTTTTTTGTGTACATCATTAATTTAACTATTTTTTTTCTTTTTTAAATTTTTTAAAAAATGCACAATACAACAAGAGAAAGAACAAAAAGAACAAAAGTATATTCAACAATAAATCAGTAAGTGTTATTATTAATCAATTTATTGATCTGTGACATGACCATTGATGCATGTTTCACCCTTTAATTTTTCACTAACTGACTTTTTTAAAAAAAAGAATAGAATCACAAAATGATAGAAGTAAAAGAAACAACCTTGGGGAGTGTCATAAGTAAGCATTAATTTTTAGTAATTACTCACATATGAAACAAAATATCATAAAGTGTACATGAAGATGTTGAAAATGGTGATTCTGGTGATAATATTAATGGAGTTGTCAATGATGTTAACGAGGTATGCCCTTTTGATTGATTTTTAAAGTTATGATGTATTTTGAATCAGATTTCTTCACCAAAATATTTTATTTATATAGTCTAATGGTGGTAATTCGGGAAAAATCAAACTAGTAAGTTTAAATCTGTCAAATAACTTTGCAGCATATCATTTGCCCTAAATCATTTTCCTTTTTCAATGTGATAGACTGATAAAGAGAGATTGTTATCTAATGAAAAACAAAATGATGAAAGCTGGACACTATCAACTGGTACAAATGTCTCAGAGATATTAGAAAAATGCACAAAAAAGATGACGAAAAATAAAGAATTCCTATAGTTGGCTCGGTCTAAAGACCTCCCAAATTTTGAGCAAATTTTAAAAGTATAGAAGTCATTTTCTGTCCTACAT